TCCAAAATACCCCCCTGAAGTGGCAGTGGTTACAAAACCGGGATTCCAAAGACAAGGGTGAGGAGTTAGTGACTGAGTAGCTATCAGAACAGTCCTTACTAGAGACCTGGATTAAAGGATCAATAGCACCACGAGACAGCTTGTTTACACCGTGTTGCCTATGCTCAGTGGGGAGCTATTTAATGTACTTTAAGGTTTACATTAAATTGACAGTCTCAGAGCCTGGGTTCATAGTTCTGTAAAACTGTTTCCTAAGGGCTAGGGTACTGTGGCCTACATGCCCACAGGAGGGAATGATAAATGAGACTTCTGCATGGGTTCCCCAAGCTGAACATAGGCTTACTCCTGCTATAGAACTAGTGGATGAAAGGACAGGGAATAGGAGTAACCTAAGGGCAGGTCTACACTAACCTGGAGATCAGTGTGGGAGGTGACCAATTCACCCAGGGATCGATTTAGTGGGTCTAGTAAAGACCCACTAAATTGACCACCGATCACTCTCTCGTTGACTCCGGCCCTTCACCAGAACAAGAAGCATAAAGGAAATCAAGTGATGGGAGAGTTTTTCCTGTCAGCCCCCTGCACTAGCTGGAGTTGTGTGCTGTAGGTTGACATTGCCCCATAGGGTAGATCTGCCCTTATTAGTTCCACAATCTTCCACCCCATGTACAGCTGAGCTGCTGCAGGAAGTGTCTAGTTCAGGGGTCTCCAACCTTTTTAAGCACGAGATCACTTTTTGAATTTAAGTGCAATGCAGGATCTACCTCAAACCCAAACACCCTTGCCCTGCCTCCTTCCCTCCCCTTCTCCAAGGCCCTGCCCCCGCTCACTTCATCCTCCCTCCCTTCCCCACCTTCACTCACTTTTATCAGACTGGGGGTAGAGGGTTGGGAAGGGGATACAGACACTGATCTTGGGTTAAAGGATTTGGAGTGTGTGTGTGTGGGGGGGGGGTTCTGAGCTGAGGCTGGGGCAGGGAGTTGAGGTGCAGGAGGGGATTCAGGGTGCTGGCTCTGGGAGGGAGTTTGGGGTGCAGGAGGGGTTCAGGACTGGGGCCAGGGTTCAGAATGCAGGGTCCACAGGTGACTTCTGGGTGGTGGTGCAGGGGGCTAAGACAAACTCACTCTTACCCTGGCCGTGCACTACTCCCAAAAGTAGCCAGCAAACTCTCTCCATCCCTGCTCTCCTCTGCTCTGTGGAGATGGGGTACAGGGAGGGGAAGGGGCACCCTGACATCAGTGCCCCCTCTTCTTCTTCTTGGGCCCTGCACAGCAAGCAGGAGGCTCCTGGGGGTGGGGAGCACCTCCAAAGTAGAGGAGAGGAGCAACATAGCAGTGCTTAGAGGGGCAGATGAAGTGCTGGCCCTGAATAGCCTCCTGGACAAACCTGTCAGGATCACCTGTCAAAGGTCCCAAGATCTACCAGTAGATCCCGATCTACTGGTTGGTGACCACTGGTCTAGTTTGCCAGGACACAGGCAATTGTGACCAGGGTGTGGCTCTGAGTCATAAAGCTTTCAGTAGTGGTGCATATTCCAGCCCATCCCCCCCTTGTTCAGAGCTCTGCCTGAAGTCACCATCTCGCTTTTAATAATACTTTAGAAACAACCCAGGTAATAAATGTGATTGGAAAAGAGCCAAGGTAATTTGTGGGAACTTAGAACAAGGTGAGGAGATTTATAAATGAGCAACCTACATACAATTCACTTTAGCCATGGAGTAGGGACTGTACATGAGATGAAGAGCTCTAAGTGTCTTTGAGTTAGGAATATATTATCTAGTAGCTACATTTATTTTCTAGTGCTTATTTCCTGGGGAATGTTTGTCTTATGGAAAGGCAATCATAGAAGTATCTTCTTTAATTATAAAAAGGTTAATGCCTAGTAATCAATCTGATACAATGCTTTTGGCTTATCCAGAGTGCTAAGGGTTAGGAAAGTTTCTTGCCTTTTTGTGTAGTTCCAAAAGCAAAGCTCATGAATTTTTCAAAAATAAAAATATGAAGTAGGTGTGTCGATGGAAGACCTATGGGCTACGTCTACACTGGCACCCTTTTCCGGAAATGCTTAAAACGGAACAGTTTTCCGTTATAAATATTTCTGGAAAAAGCACGTCTACATTGGCAGGATGCTTTTCCGGAAAAGCACTTTTTCCGGAAAAGCGTCCGTGCCAATGTAGACACGCTTTTCGGCAAAAAAGCCCCGATCGTCATTTTCACTATCGGGGCTTTTTTGCAGAAAAGAAATCTGTGCTGTCTACACTGGCCCTTTTCCGGAACAGTTTTCCGGAAAAGGACTTTTGCCCGAACGGGAGCAGCATAGTTTTTCTGGAAAAGCACTGATGATTTTACAGTAGATCGTCAGTGCTTTTCCGGAAATTCAAGGGGCCAGTGTAGACAGCTGGCAAGTTATTCTGGAAAAGCGACTGATTTTCCAGAATAAGTGGCCAGTATAGACACAGCCATGGAGTATGAATCCTTGTTGTGAAAGAAAGGCCTGGATTGGACAGTAGCAGCTTTTTATAGCTATTTTAAAGCTATATTTATAACAATTCTGAGTTCTGTGTAACTCAGTTTTGACTGAAAATGTATTTTAACCCACCCCCAAAACTGCCACATCCATGGTGGATCACACATTTCCCTAAGGGTACGTCTACACTGCAAGCTTCTTTCAAAATAAGTTTTCCAGAAGATATCTTCTGGGAAAGCTTATTTTGAAATCGTGTCCACACTACAGGGAAGCCTCCAAATTAGTCCGAGGCAGGCTTCCCTAATGTGGACATGCTATCTTGATGTAGAGCCCCAGAGGGCACTCGGGAGGAATAACGTAGAATGGCTCTGGGGAGGAGCTATTCCGACATAGCAGCATTGGAGCATCCACACGCATCCTCTTCTGAAAGAGCTTTTTCGGAAGAGGCGTTATTCCTCGTAGACTGAGGTTTACCAACATTGGAAAAAGCCCTCCGTTATTTCAGTTTTCTCTTGAAATAACACAATTGCTGTGTGGACGGTAGTATTGTTTTTCCGGAATCACGGCTGTGATTCCGGAATAACGATGCAGTGTAGACGCACCCTAAGGTAAGATATGTTAGAACAGCTCATGCGATATATTTCTCAAGTCTGGTATCTGGCCCCTGCCAGTGGTCAATATCTGTCTTAGAATAAGGTGACTCCAGTCCAACGCTTCATAAGCCCTACTTGCAACTATTGAAGTTGTTGGCAAAACTTCTCTTGCTCGTGATGATGCTCTAGAATTGTGCCCTTAGCGTATAGGGCTCCAAGCCAATTATTTAATGCTGTAAGACAGGAATTCCCCTTGACACCAGCAGGTGATTGGCTTATGACCTGAAACATGAAGTTCGAGTTCTCGTATCATTATTATGGCTTGTCTTCCCCCCCTGCTGATAGTGTTATTGATGGCCATGAAATGATCTAGTGCAATTGGGAACCTGGTCACAGCAGAGGCTCAGCAGTGAATTCCACAGGGTGACACGCTGCTGCACAAGGAAGCCAGTCCCTAGGGCTGGCTCTGTATTTACTGACCTTTTCCTGTGAACAGTGCAGCCCACATAGAGGTGGGAGACTTTCTTTTTGAAACAGAGAATCAATGGCAATGCCTTCCATACCCAGATAGCTTCAATACAAAGACAGCTTCTCCAATTATCACCCCTAATATCAGTATCTCATAGGGTATGTCTACACTAACCCCCTAAATCGATCTAGGGAGGCTAATGAGGGTGACCGAAATTGCAAACGAAGCGCGGGATTTAAATATCCCGCACTTGATTTGCATGTTCCCGGCTGGTTGCCATTTTAGAAAATGACTAGCCCGAAGTAATTGCCCGTGTCTACACGCGGCAGTGAAATGGGATTCCGAAATAAAGCCCTAACTCGAATTAGCTGGTACAGCCGTTCCCCAAATTACGAACAAGTTACGGACCACGCTTGGTCCATAACTTGAAGTGTTCGTTGGAAGAAAATTGGCATGACTATATATACCAAAGTGATACAATCAAAAAAAGTGAACACATATAAAATTGACAAATCAGATCTTAGAACAGAGGGAGAGGTGAGGGGGGAGGTTAGTGTCTATGGGTATGTCTATACTAGCCCCCTAGATTGATCTATGGAGGCTAACGAGGGCCAACTAAATTGCTAATGAAGCGCAGGATTTAAGCATGGCAGTGAAACAGATTCGGAAATAAAGCTCTAACTTGAATTAGCTGGTAATCCTAATTGCAGGAGGAATACCAGCTAATTCGAGTTAGGGCTTTATTTTGGAATCCCGTTTCACTGCTGCATGTAGATGCAGGCAGTTACTTCGGGCTAGTCAATTTCTAAAATGGCAACCAGCCGGGAACATGCAAATCAAGCACGGGATATTTAAATCCCATGCTTCATTTGCAATTTCGGTCACCCTCATTAGCCTCCCTAGATCAATCTAGGGGGCTAGTATAGACATACCCATAGACACTAACCTCCCCCCTCACCTCTCCCTCTGTTCTAAGATCTGATTTGTCAATTTTATATGTGTTCACTTTTTTTGATTGTATCACTTTGGTATATATAGTCATGCCAATTTTCTTCCACAATTTGATCTGAGGAAGTGGGTCTGGCCCACGAAAGCTCATTACCTAATAAACCATCCTGTTAGTCTTTAAAGTGCTGCATAGTCCTGTCTTTTGTTTCAGCAAAACCAGACTAACACAGCTACTTCAATACCCAGGGCAGCTTAATAAGTATTTGAACTCATCCCCAAATGTGCGGAGAAGGATGCATACTTGCTAATGCAGCGGTGGCTCACGAGGGCCACATTTATCCCACTGCCACAAGCTATCTTGCACGGTGTGCAAATTTTCTGTGCATAAATCAAAGGGGGAAAGCCAGGCCACGCTGCTTTTCATTGCATCAGCGTAAGGATAAATGTTTTCTGCTAATCACCCGCCAGTGCCTTCTGGCAGTTCAGACAAGTTTTTTTCTTGCTTTGATTCTTCCTTTGGTAGGAAATCAGCGATGATCCATACCCTCCGGATATGCTAGAGTAGATGTTCCCAGTGGATTGTTACGGTGCGCTTCTTTGAGAGCTGAACTGATGCAGTGGGCCAGCCAATTGCTTGTGCAAACATGCCCTCTTCTGTGTGCTGCAAAGGCAAATTCTTTTAGACTTGCTAATGAGTCTAATGTAGCATATGGAACGATTGCTTAGAGCCAAACCCAAACTTCTACTGAAGTCAGTGGAGGCCACATTCAAGGACAGACTATGCACACAGCCAAGTCTTCATTCCTGGGCACAGGCCAAGCAACTGGACGGAGTGATTTTGGTGGATCAGCGAAGTGTAGTGAATCTCGGTGGAGCACAGCACTATGATGGGCAAGGGGTGCAAACCCAAAGCATAGTTTTGTAGGTAGGACTGGTAGCAAATGAAGAATCTTTTCTGCAAAGCAAAAATCGTTGGTTTGTTTTTGTTAAAAATGTTCAAACTTTATTTTTGACTCTATTAGAAATGTAATAGAATGGCATTGAAATGACTTCCCCCTCCCATTGTTCACTTGTTGGTTTCCCCTTTGGAGGAGGAGGGAAGAAAGGGAGAGACAAGGGAGAGACTAAATGAAAATGAAAAATGTTGTTTTGGTTCAAAATTGTTTTTGGGGGGACAAAGCAAAGTACACGTTTGATTTTTTGTGTGGTAAGATGTTTTCTTATTCAAAAAAACACTTTTATCAAACTTTTTGTTGACTTTTTTGACCATCCTGCCCTTCTCCATCTCCTAGAGCATGCAGAACCATTGCCGTTTTGTAGGATGTTGGGCAGTTTGTTTTGCAGCCACATAAAGGATGTAGCGGAAGGGGCTGCATTTATCCTGTGTTTTCTAACCGTAAAAATCAGACATAGCTCTTTTGATGTTCACATTTGTTTCTCAGCTTACTCTTCCCTAGCTGCTGTCAGGGGGGATTGTTACCAATTGCTCTTTATTGTTCTGAGCTGGGGACACATGACTCTGTACTCATCATGGTTCAGCTTCCCCAGGGGCTGAGAGAATTCTCTCTGCAGATAACGCTGTGTAGGAGCTTACGTGGAAGGGTCTCTGTGCTGGAAAACACGTAATGGTCTTTGCTATGGACCTGATGCTACAGTCATTTCTACTCAGAAATTCCAGGGAAATGAATAAGAGTTCTGCACTTAAGGAATGCCATCCTGGACCCCGTCTGCCTCTTGACGGAGGCCCGGTGAGCAGAAAAATAGCAGCACATGAACACGGGGGTCTAGGGATTGAGGCTTTACTGCCATAGACTCACCTCTGCTGTGGCAGCTAATACTGGTACAGCTCCGGTGTTTAGTAAATGAGGGATACCTGGGTAAATAAGATGCCATCACCGTTTGCAATAACAATGCTGGTGGGTTTGGGAGCTCTTGTTTATGTGAACGCTCCCAATGCCGCTAGCAATCGTGTTAGCCGAGCTGCTCCTGAGGGAAATTCTTTTGAAAAAATCCCTCGTCCGGGCAAGGTGAAGGTTTGAATCTTTACGTGGAAAGATCTCTGTGCTGGAAAACACGTAATGGTCTTTGCTATGGACCTGATGCTACAGTCATTTCTACTCAGAAATTCCAGGGAAATGAATAAGAGTTCTGCACTTAAGGAATGCCATCTTGGACCCCGTCTGCCTCTTGAGTGAGGCAGAAAAATAGCAGCACATGAACACGGGGGTCTAGGGATTGAGGCTTTACTGTCATAGACTCACCTCTGCTGTGGCAGCTAATACTGGTATAGCTCCGGTGTTTAGTAAATGAGGGATACGTGGGTAGATAAGATGCCATCACCGTTTGCAACAATGCTGGTAGGTGTGGGAGCTCCTGTTTACGCGAACGCTCCCAATGCCGCTAGCAATGATAGCCGAGCTGCTCCCGAGGGAAATTCTTTTGAAAAATCCCTCATCCGGGCAAGGTGAAGGTTTGTATCCAGCCCATGTCAATACTTCCTCATCCCGCCGTCACCATTGCCCTCTATGAAATGATAGAGTCTCAGTCCACTTCCTTGTGGGCAGGTGTGGACTCTGGAGCACACAGTGGTGAACCTCACAAAATTCACCACCATGTCCCACGCTAACTGGCTTCGGATCGAGCCCTTAAAGAGCATGGAAACTCGACACGCCTCTCATTCATCGACGTGATCCTTCCAGAGCAGCATTGAGGCATGTGGGCAGAGCCTTGTGGGGAAGCGTGTATTGTTGTCACCCATGCTGCACCTAGTTATTAGACAGTAGAAACTTCTGGTTCCGGTGACGTGAATTTAACAATCCTTCTCAAGTGTCTTAAATATCTATAACTCAATTAAAATGCATAGCACAGGATTCTTTTCTTTTCTTTTCTTTTCTTTTCTTTTCTTTTCTTTTCTTTTCTTTTCTTTTCTTTTCTTTTCTTTTCTTTTCTTTTCTTTTCTTTTCTTTTCTTTTCTTTTCTTTTCTTTTCTTTTCTTTTCTTTTCTTTTCTTTTCTTTTCTTTTCTTTTCTTTTCTTTTCTTTTCTTTTCTTTTCTTTTCTTTTCTTTTCTTTTCTTTTCTTTTCTTTTCTTTTCTTTTCTTTTCTTTTCTTTTCTTTTCTTTTCTTTTCTTTTCTTTTCTTTTCTTTTCTTTTCTTTTCTTTTCTTTTCTTTTCTTTTCTTTTCTTTTCTTTTCTTTTCTTTTCTTTTCTTTTCTTTTCTTTTCTTTTCTTTTCTTTTCTTTTCTTTTCTTTTCTTTTCTTTTCTTTTCTTTTCTTTTCTTTTCTTTTCTTTTCTTTTCTTTTCTTTTCTTTTCTTTTCTTTTCTTTTCTTTTCTTTTCACAAAGCTTTGCACAGACTTATACATAGAATGGAATGAAAAAGCCATTATGGGTGGCTTTCTTCATGTTGTCCACTTTCACTGTCAGGGAATGGAATGATCTTTGGATACTTCTCTAACAGCTGATTTCAGTATCTGCAATCAACAGGTCACCCATCATCTCAGATTCATTCTAGCATCAGAACTTTGGCACACAGTTGTTGTTAAGAAAATGATTGATATCCATGTACATTGTTTTTTCCGGGGATTGAGTTGCAGTTGATTGCTAAATATTTTTGAAATACTGTAATCATGTTAGGCAAACTGGGAAATTCATATCAAGTACCACTTAATATATTTGCATCTATGAGAGTCCAAGCTTTATTGTAATTAAACATGTGGAATAATTCTGGTTTTTTTCCATCAGCAATCGCAAGGTGAAAATGAGAGAAATGTCATCTAAGACTATGTTGTTCATGCATATTTTCCATTTTCCTAAAATGCTAGAAACTGATCTAAACTAGCTCTGTTGTTACCAGCTATAAGCAGTACTTGTGTAAAAATATCGGAACTGATCAAATGCATCAAATTATGTTCACAAAGTTGTAGTATCTGGGATACACTGTATAAAGGTTTCCCTGATTTTTGATTCAGCCAATTCCAAAGTCATTTCTCTCTCTCTCTCTATAGCTTACGCGCACGCGCGCACACACACACACACACACACACACAGAAGAGTAATATCACTATAGAGCCAAATTTAGCCATATTTAGTCAATTTAAAATAAAAAAGATGTATTACAGTACATGTAATGATAGACATTTAGTCAATTTAAAATAAAAAAGATGTATTACAGTAGTGTAGTTTTTTTAATCACCCATCCCAGTGAATGATAGAATAACAGTGAATTCTTTAGCCAGGGTTTCTAAAAACTGAGAAGGCTGGTTTGAAAATGTGTATGTTCATGTTAGTCACAATTATGGGATGGTTTCTCAATGTATTATTATTTTGCTGCTTCATGGGGTAGCTAGTAGAGCTAGTTAAGAATTGGCTTCCCATCCTGACAAAAAAAATTAGTTTTCATTACGATTTCTTTGATTTTTTTTTTTAGTTGTTTACAATCAAAACCTGAAATATTTCAGTTAGGTGAATTATTTTTCTTCTTAACTATCTGAATGTTTCTGGAACTTGGTTTGTGTTGTGTGTTTTCCATATTTTCTGGTCTTTTGGATTGTTGAAACAGACATTTCATGTAAATATTTTCATTTCAATAAAATAGCCATTTTTCTATCAAAACTTTTAGATAGAAAACTTTTGATGGTTCTAGCAACTTTTAAAGCACCCAGTTATAGCTCAAGAATCAAGAAATGTGTCCTTTTGCTGGTTTTGAGGTTGTCTGAGCATAAACAAAAACAAACAAACAAACAAACAAACCAAAACAAACCCCAGAAAAGTTGTTAATTGGTCTGTAAGTGACTTTGAAGGCTCTTATTCCATACAGATTTTGGTTAAGTAATGGGAATATTTAGTATTTTATAATTCAACAAGAGGCAGAGTTGGGGCAATGTGCCTGCTTCTTATCAATCTATCTCTGAAGTCACTGATTTTACTAACCGATGCCACAAGTCCTTAATACAAAAATTCTATGATGAATGCAGGGCTTTAGTGTTTGAAGGCTGAATTCAAAATCACATTTACACTTTTGAACTTGCATTTCATGAAAATAAGGTGATTTATTTTAACACTCTTGAAATAAAATCATAGAAGTTGGAGATTTTTCACTTGTTAGAGTATCAGATCCATCCCTTTACAAAAGCAGGATTGTTCTGTAGTTTACATTTTTACAGTCTTGTTGTAAAGACAATCAAGGCTAGCGATATGAATAATGAATACCATTCCCTTGCATGTGGTACAAGAACACATATCTAAAAATACTTCCTACACAATTCAAAGCAGACATCATGCCACATATTTCAGAATCTGTCACTGGGCTCTAGCTCTTCCTGTAATCTCATGTGCCTACTACATGCAGGATTACTTTACTGTTCTAACACAAACATTTGTACCAATGTTCTGAGACCTTTTTAGAAACGGATCAGAATTCCCATGACCTCTTTGGGCCATTTGTCTTCTGGATTTCAGCACGTCTGGATGGTTGCTTTGCTAGAGCACAGCTCCAAATATAACCCAATTTAGTTCAACAATGATTTAATCTCTATCAGCATTTTTTAAATGTTGGGTCTACATTCTTTGACCAAAATCACAACTTTTATAACTCGTCTGTTTATAAAATGTGAACTGCCTAAAAACAAGACAAAGAAAAAGACGGAGGTGTGGTTAAATAGTCGAGCTAATACAAACACAGGTTAGTTCCTGCTTTTCAGAGCTCACAGATGGCAAATATGCATTTAAGGGATACTGCTGAAGATGTAAACTTACATAGTGACTGCTACATATAACACAAATCCTGACCAATAACTTCCAGCAAGTGTCAGCTTAATGTATCTCAAAATGACCCAGAAATGTGCATTTCTATTTAAAGGATATCATGTAAATGTTAACTGGCTGTAGCACATTTTTTAAAATCTAGGATTAAAATGAAATATGCCTCCAAGGCAGCTTCTCTAAATATTAATTCTAATGCACTTGATTTCTTCCTTCCCCAAGGTTGTCATTTGCACATGGAGGAAATAATTGTCATAATAACATTAAATATTCCCTCTCCCAGAAGAATGTTGCTGTAAGAGCCCTGGAATCATGGGTCGATTAAAGATAAATAGGGTTCAGGTCTACTAATACACTCCCCACTTCCCCAGTCTCTCTCTGCTGTATTCTCAGTGAGGTTATCTAGCCCTAGACAGACTTTTATTCCTCCTAAACACCCCTCTTCTGTCCTCCCAGACTCTTCCCTAGGGCCTTGTCCTGTATTTGCCTCTTTCTGCTGATTCCCCTGGACACAGTCTGTTGCTTCCTGACTCTCACTGATTTTCTGTTAGAAGCCCCATATTTTATCTCCTGCTTTACACATCCTATCCTTGAACCCCAGCACTATAGCACCTTTTCAGGCAGTTTACACTGTTTCTTGGGGGGGCTGGAGGAATAACTCTGGAGGCGAGTGTGCTACATCTCCAGCATCTACAACCCCACAGGAAGCAAGAAATGATGGCCAGGGGTTAAACCAGGTCTTCCATGAGTTCCTTCATCAGGCACCTTAAGTTTTTAGAAGCCCACTCTGCACACCTGCAAGCAGCAAGTCCTACATTCATATGTTGAGCGAGCTCTTCTTAAGGCAAGAGTGCCATCTTGTGATAGGTAAAGGAAAGAGAACTCAAAGCAGTGTCTCTGTCCCTTTGCCATTAATAGGATTATGCTCCTAGCATATGGAGTTCCACCAAAAGATGAGCACATTGTAGATTTCAGTCACCCTTGGAGCTGAGGAGAAAACCATCCCTAAGGAAACTGAAGGTGGTAATGTACCACTGGAGTGGTGCTCCGGTTGCATGACTACAACCTCTTTTACTAGGCAGACTTCCCACGCTCACCCTGAAGGCTGGTAGACCTGAAGCCCTTCTGTTTTTCTGTCAAAAGACTGACCTGAGCCAGAACCCCCATTCAAACATCACTGGACTTCTGGGTGTTCAGACAACATGAAATCTCACTGCAAACCTGCTTTTAGTTTGCAGAAAGTAAGAGCAAGGAGGTTTTGCTGAGCCAAACAATTGACCTGGCTGGTCGTGTCTATTTGAGAGACAGAAAGGGGCCTGGACTGGAACTACTTATCCAAATCTCTCAAGGATAAGCTACCACCCACCTCCAAACTGTCCCTGGTTTTGCTGCTGCCTCCTGATGATTGGTTAGACATAATTTGTATTTATTGATGGTGGGTTGCATTCTGAGTACCTATTGTTGTTTCGTTGAGTGTAATAGTCTAAGCCAGGGGTGGGAAACCGAAGGCCCCAGGGCCAGATGCAGCCCCTGGTGTGCCTGGATCCAGCCCCTGAAGCGTGGGACTCCCCCCTCAGCAGTGGGGAGCCGGTGCTGGTGAGTGGTGTTTTTTTTTGTTTTTTGCTTCTCTGACTGATTTTTCTGTGGGTCAGTGGCCCCCAACTCAAAAAGGTTCCCCACCCTTAATCTAAGCAGATAACCCCCGAGAAAATATTGCAAGTGGGATTGTAAATCAAAAGTAAGTACTTCATAAATGTGCTAATCTCTCAGGCTGCATCTAGACTGGCAAGTTTTTCCGTAAAAGCAGCTGCTTTTGCGGAAAAACTTGCCAGCTGTCTACACTGGCCGCTTGAATTTCCGCAAGAACACTGACGATCTCATATAAGATTGTCAGTGTTCTTGTGGAAATACTATGCTGCTCCCGTTCGGGCAAGAGCCCTCTTGCGCCAGTGTAGACAACGCGGTATTGTTTTGCGCAAAAATGGCGATCGGGGCTTTCTTGCACAAAACCGCGTCTAGATTGGCACGGACGCTTTTTCGCAAAAAGTGCTTTTGCGGAAAAGCATCCGTGCCAATCTAGACGCTCTTTTCCGCAAATGCTTTTAATGGAAAAAATTTTCCGTTAAAAGCATTTGCGGAAAATCATGCCAGTCTAGACGTAGCCTCAATGTATGCTGTAGTCTCTAAAGGGGAATCCAACTGCGGCTCCTTTTCTTCAAGCCGTTGTCTGTATTGGTGGAGCACCAGGCCCTGGGTTCAGGCCCTGCTGATGGACCATGGTGGTATCTGTATTGTCTGGCTGCAGTTTTGCACAGGAACACACACTATCGGGCAGGCCCGTGGAGACAAGAACACAAGACCAGCTTTAGCTTGCAGGGCCCACGCAATAACTCAGGGTCGTTTTGGTCCCAGTTCAGGAGGATCATGGAAATGCAGCCGCAAGTGCCTTTCATGGAGGAAGGGGGAGAGGAGAGAGAGATCATAGGACCTTGTGTGTTCCATTTCATTGCCAGAGGGTCAGGCAGGACATGGCCAAGGCTAGCCCCGCTCCTGCCCCCCTACGTGTGAATGGGGAAAGCCAGCCTCCCCTCAAGGCGAGAAGCAGCCTGGTGCCTCCCCCCATTCCTGGGAAACCTCCAATGCCTCTCCCCATCCCTGGGGAGCCCCCCAGTGCCTCCCCCTATTCTTGGGAAACCCCCAATGCCTCCCCCCATCCCTGGGGAGCCCCCCAGTGCCTCCCCCTATTCTTGGGAAACCCCCAATGCCTCTCCCCATCCCTGGGGAGCCCCCCAGCGCCTCCCCCTCTTCTTCCCAAACCCCCAATCCCCCCCCCCCTTCCCCGACACC